GTCTGCTGTCCTTTGCTTTGTGTCATTGGCAGGAAAGTGAATGACAAATAGTTTAAGTTTATGTTGTGGTGCTAATTAGATCTCGTGCACTCCTAAGGGAATGACAACGTTTTGAAATAACCAGAGAAACAAGATTGGATGGTAGGGTGACTTACATCATGGAGTACTTGTTGAAAACGTTCTTTTATCGGGATGAGGAACAGGTGGGTGATGTTTGTAGCCTTAACCCACGTCCGTCTCTATATGACATACACTGTTGCTTCTGCTCACACTATATCAATGCTTCCATTTGTAGTAGTTGTAATAGTAGCCTTTATTATTATTATCACTATTATCGCTGTTATTGTTATTGATAGTTACTAGTACTACTGTTATTATTACGACTATTACTATCACTGTAATTAGCTATCCCCATTCATATTCTTATTTTTATTCTTCAAGGTAAGAAATATGGTATCGTAATGGCAAACAACCAAAGTACACTTAGCGGGTCAGTTCTTAAGCTAGAGACGCATTGAAGATAATAATATAGATACAGTACTCCCATCGCTTTCAGTACAGCCGTACTTTAAACTGCACTGTTAAGCCTGCATTTTGCTAGGTATTAAAGCTGTCGTTAAGAGATTTCGATTTTATACATTGAGGAATTAGGATAAGAATATTCAAAAGGAGATGGTCATTAAATCTATAAAATTCTCCACGATAGTATGCCCCACGTAACGTATCAGCTTACCTGGCTTATAATGGTTATCTGATCTGGTATATCGGTCCATTGGTATGCTATGTATAGCCTATACAAGCACGATTCATTCACCCATATACACTCATGTGTACCATACTGTAAATATATATATTTGAGCATGTATATTGCAAAATTAGGCGAAATAGTATAGTGTTAACAACCGGAATGCCGACCTACACTGGGTAAACCAAGTGATCCGCCCTGCCTAATAATGATAATGAATTAAATTAGATTAAAGGTAGAAAGAAAGAATCACATGTCTTACCTGCAACTACCTGAGTATAAGGCGACAGTGATGATGTGCTGAGCCTGAAGACCCCTACACATGCGTAGATATATGCGTATAGATCTATGTCTGTGCAATGCATGCATATATATAAATGCGTATATGTTCATACACATATGTATGCTATGCACAAGTATGTATATGATTATAAAGGTACAGTATAAAGATAGAAAGGTAAATAGATGGATAGATGAACCGATAGATAAGCAAATAGAGTGATCAATAGATAGGTATACAGATAAATATATAGATAGAGAGATGCATTGTATATGTATTGCAAACATATTCAAGAAGCCTAGAGCATATGCATTCCACCTTAAAATGAAGTATTGCTTAATACTTTTGCAAGCGAATCCAAGAGGTAATCGAGAAGCCATTGTACCTGTATGTAATATGCAACATAATTCCCTGTGATTTGAATTATTCCTCTCATAATGTAATATTTCTGATATACCATACCACATAATCTGTTTTATTTATATATTGAGTCCAAAGGAGTGGGAGGGGGTAGGGTGATCTGCACGGACTGAGTAATGGGAGGGGGGAGGGGGAAGTAAAAAGGGGAAAAAAGTACATTGCATTTCTTGAGTGCAGTGTACTTTGGTCGTGTTCAGAGAATAAGGGAATAAAGTATTGCATATATATATATATATATATATATATATATATATATATATATATATATATATATATATATATATATATATATTAATATATATATATTTGTGTGTGTGTGTGGTGTGTGTGTGTGTGTGTGTGTGTGTGTGTGTGTGTGTGTGTGTGTGTGTGTGTGTGTGTGCAATGTCTATATAAGTACTTATATAGACCTTGTGTGTATGTATATATGTATGTGTATTTGTGCGTGTTGCGTGCGTGTGATGAAGAAATAAAGAAAATGTGAAAGGGAAAGAAGATAAGACAACGGTACTTTTTGGATAATATGTCGTGCATTTTTTTCTTTTTTTTATCCTTATGCATTATTTTTTCAGAAAATTACGGAGAAAATTATGGCCTCTTCGGTGAAGCTCACCGTTAATGGCCAGGAATATGAAGGTAAGTTTCTATTCATTTTTATTATTATTGTTGTAGTTGTTCTTGCTATAGTTATCTTCGTCCTCGTCTTCGTCTTCGTCTTCGTTCTCGTCTTCATTATTATTAATCATTAGTAGTACTCAAGGAGTTTTTTTTTTCGTCAGAACTGGGATCGTGATATTGTAGCCTTATTATTTATGTTTTCCCAATTTTTATTTATTTATTTTTTTTCTTATTGACATTCGCAGTCGACCCAGCCACGCCTCCCAGCACTCGCCTGGTAGACTTTCTGCACGAGAAGAACCTCAGCGGAACCCACGTGACATGTTACCAAGGTGGCTGCGGGGCCTGTACTGTCGTGGCGTCGTTCGTGGACCCCGATTCTGGCGCCAAAAACACGCATTCGATCAACAGCGTATGTCTTCTGTTTTGTTTTGTTTTTTGTATGTTTTGTTTTGTTTTTGTTATTTTAACGGAGGAGAGTTGAAAGTAAGTGAAAATACAGACAGGGTAAAAGACAGAGATGAGATTTTAAAGAAATGAGGTGTTCGTGGACTCTGATTTTGGCGCCAAAATATGAATTTTATCAACAGTCTATTTTTATTTTTATTTATTATTATTATTATTATTAGTTTTTGTATTTTGATTTCCTTTTCGAAGGAGAGATAAAAGTCAGAGGTGAATGAAAAATACTGTAATAAAAGACAGAGAAGAGAAAGAAATGAGAGAAGTCGTCCGTGGACCCAGACTCGCATTCGTGTTTCGTTTTTGCTTTTGTTATTTTGACGGAAGAGATATAGGAATTAGAGAGGAATAAGCAAGATTGAGATAAAATAACGAGGTGAGATATAAAGAAATGAGGAAAAGTCGTTCTTTGACCCTGACAGGCGCCAAAAACACGCATCGATCAACAGCGGATGTGTTTCGTTTTTGTTTTTATTATTTTGACGGAGGGGGGATAGCAATTAGAAAGGAATAAGCAAGATTGAGATCCAATAACGAGATGAGATTGAAAAGAAATGTGAAAAAGTCGTTCGTGGACCCTGATTCAGGCGCCAAAAACACGCATTCGATTTTCGTTTTATTTTTGTTTTTCCTTTTGATTTTCACGAAGGTGTTAAAAGACAGAGGTGAGTAAAAACAGACTGAGGTGAAATATAGAGATGAGTTTTTAAAGAGATGAAAAAAGGCGTTCGTGTACCCTAACTCGTGGCGCCAAAATCCGTATTCTGTCAAGAACGTATTTCTCTTTTATGTTATTTTGACGGAGGGAAAAGTGAGAATTAGAGAGATAAACAACACTGAGATAAAATAACGAGTTAAGATTTATAGAAATGAGAAAAAACGCATTTGATCAATAACGTATATTTTTTGTTTTTGTTTCTGCTTTTGTTTTTTACGAAGGTTAGATAAAAGTCACGAGGTGAATAGAAAAGACTGTTAAAAGTCAGAGATGAATAAATACGACAGAGATAAGACAAAAGATTGGTTAAGGCCGTGTCACACTAGCACTTTTTGTCAATTTTTTTACAATTTTATTTAACATAAATACAAACATTCTCGAATATAGATCTTGATCTGACTATGCTCGGCTGAAAAAGTTGACGGAAAGGTTTTTAAATGGAAACGATCATTATCGTCTGACTGGAGAATCAACAATTCGCTCAAAATGGTCAAAATTTCAAAAAATTGTCATAGTGTGACGGCATCTTTAAGGAGAGAGAGAAAAAAGAGAGAGAAAGAGAGAAGAGAGTAAGAGAAAGAGATGGAGTTTCTATAAGTTTATATATACGTGCGTGTTTATTAATATATGTGATATACATCAGTACCGCCTCACACACACACACACACACAAAAAAAAAAAAAAAAAAAAAAAAAGTTCCCATTTCCCTCTATATTTCTTCGTACTTCCCCTACGTGTCTTGTCCCCATTACTTTTATTTCTCCATCTCCTCCTTTAGTGCCTCGCCCCCCTCCTCGGCTGCAACGGCTGGGAAATCACGACGATAGAAGGCTTGGGGAATCGCCACGATGGGTATCACGTGATCCAGGAGCGGTTGGCAGAGTACTCGGGGACCCAGTGCGGGTACTGCTCGCCGGGTATGGTTATGAATATGTACGGGTGAGTATAATGTTTTGTTTTGTTTGTTGTTTTTTTTATTATTAGAAATTTTATTTTGATTTTGATTTTGGATTTTTGGCGGGTTTAGATTTTGTTTATTAGATTTTTTATTAGATTTTTTTATGTAGATTTTTCTCTTTCATGCAAGTCTTTGTCTGTTTGTTTTTCTTTCTTTCATCTCTTTATTTATCTTTCCTCTCTCATTCTGCCTCTCCCCCATGCTCTCGCATATTTCCCGTAGTGATTTATTTTTATCTTTCATCACGTTTCTTCTCCGTCTCTCCTCTCCCTCTCTCTCTCTCTCTCTCTCTCTTCTCTCTCCTCTCTCTCTCTCTCTCTCTCTCTCTCTCTCTCTCTCTCTCTCTCTCTCTATCTCTCTCTCTCTCTCTCTCTCTCTCTCTCTCTCTCTCTCTCCTCTCTCTCTCTCTCTCCTCTCTCTCTATCTCTCTCTCTCTATCTCTCCTCTCTCTCTCTCTCTCTCTCTTCTCTCTTCATCTCTCTCTCATCTCCTACCCCCCCTCCCTCCCTCTTCCTCTCTCTCCCACCCTACCTCCCCCACTCTCCCTTCTCCCTCTCTCCCCTCTCCTCTCTCCCTACCTTTCACCTCTCCCTCCCTCTCCCCTCTCTCCCTCTCTCTCTCCCCTCTCCCTCCCTCTCCCCCCTCTCCCTCTCTCCCCCCTCTCCCCTCTCCTCTCCCTCTCCCTCCTCTCTCTCCCTCTCCCTCTCCTCTCCCCTCCCTCTCCACCTCTCCCTCCCCCTCCCCCTCTCCCTCCTCTCTCTCCTTCTCCCTCCCTCTCCCTCCTCTCTCCCTCTCTCTCCCTCCTCTCTCCCCTTTCCCTCCCTCTCTCCCCCTCTCCCTCCCTCTCTCCCCTCTCCCTCCCTCTCTAACCCTCTCCCTCCCTCTCTCTCCCTCTCCCCTCCCTCTCTCCCCCTCTCCCCGTCTCCTTCCCCTCTCCCCTCTCTCCCTCTCCCCCTCTCTCCTCCCCTCTCCCCCTCTCCCTCTCTCTCCCTCCTCCCTCTCTCCTCCCTCTCCCTCCCTCTCCCCTCTCTCCCTTCTTCCCCTCTCTAACCTCTCTCTCCTCCCCTCTCTCCTCTCTCTCCCCCTCTCTCCCTCTCTCCCCCTCCCCTCTCCCTCCTCTCCCCCTCTCTCCTCCCTCTCTCCCCCCCTCTCCCTCCCTCTCTCCCCCTCTCCCTCCCTCTCTCCCCCTCTCCCTCCCTCTCCCTCCTCTCTCCCTCCTCTCCCCCCTCTCTCCCTCTCTCTCCCTCTCCCCCTCTCCCTCCCTCTCCCCCCTCTCCTCCCCTCTCTCCTCCCTCCCTCTCCCCTCTCTCCCCTCTCTCCCTCTCCCTCTCTCTCCTCTCCTCCCTCTCTCCCCTCTCTCCCTCCTCTCCCCCTCTCTCTCCCCTCTCCCTCCCTCTCCTCTCCTCTCTCCTCCTCTCTCTCCTCTCCCTCCCTCCTCTCTCCCTCTCCCCCTCTCTCCCCTCTCCCTCCTCTCTCCCCCTCTCCCTCCTCTCCCCGTCTCTCCCCCTCTCCTCTCCTCTCTCTCCCTCTCTCCCTCCCCATCTCTAGTGTCCACTTCGTATCTCTTATCAGTATCGTAAATTCACCCGACGCACTTGATTATCGGCAAGTTACTTTGATATCAAATTAATTCGTGTATTCACCTGCCCTGCTGATAACTGTATCCATGAACTCATATCTACATAACAGAACTACAGCAGCATAGAATAAGATATAGACTATAGAATATAGAATCTGGGGTATTAGAAATATAGTAACGATGATGAGATGGAATATTGATTTGAGGAAATAATGAAAAATGAGTAAAATTATATTGTCTAGAATATAGAATCAGACTTCTTAGAAATAGAGTAAAGATGATGATTTGAGGAAATAATGAAAGAATGAATAATATATTGCCCGACATGTTAAAAAGATGATCTTGATTTTTTATTGAAATAGGGGGAGAATACGTGACAAAGTTTATTAAGTCATATTTTTAAAAATCAATGAAAGATAATGAAGCAACTTAGAATATTTAGATGATAACAAAGCATAAGTTTTGTTTGAAAAATACGTGCAGTGAAAATCCCATATATGATAATGAATAAGAATAAAAAAAAATGCAAGCCACAAGAAGAAAAAATTGCAATAACGAAATAGGGACAAGAAACAAAATACATTACATACCAAACCAATAAAATAATAATAATACAAAAAATGATAACGATAATAATAATAAAACGAAATCAGATTTTTAATAAAATAGTAAACGAAAAAATATAATAACAATAATAATAATAAAACAAAAATGGATTGGAAAAAAAAATACCAAATCCCAACCCCAACAGCTTAACCCAGAGCAGTAGTTCATGGACAGCTTCGGAGGTGGAACAACATCTTGACGGAAACCTCTGTCGGTGCACAGGCTATCGACCCATCCTGGAAGCCTTCAAGTCCATCACGGCGCAGGATATTGAGGTCTTGTGGCGACGCGCTTTTGTTTTTTTGTTTTGAGGGTGAATTTGTTGTTGTTGTTGTATGATGATGTATGTTGTTGTTGTGTAATGATACTGCGTTTGTTGTCGTAAGATCATGCTTGTTATTAGTAGTAAAATTGTTATTATTATTATTATTATTATTATCACTTTTGTTGTTACTGTTTTATCGTATTGGTTATTATTGATATTGCTATTATGATGATTATTATTTTTAAAAAGTAAATATTTACTCTGCGTTGATTCGCATTGTCAAAGTTTTTATTTATCTTTTATTTTTTTATTTTTTTATTTTTTTGCCTTTAATATTTCTCAATATTTTGTTCTGTCTTCTGTTCTTCTTTTTTAGTATTTTCGAACGCCCTTACTTACAAGTATTTTCAAATAAATAAGAACAATTTTGCCTCCTTTCAGACCTATCTCTCTGTTCTTTATATCGTCTACTACATTTATTGTGATTTTACTTTTTTTCAGATAATTAGGCTGTTTTTTGCGAGTGGTATTGTTTTATTGTAATTATTTAGCGAACAGGAAAAGTGTGCATTGGGAGAGGATGAGAGGATGACGTCACCAAGATAAGATAAGATAAGGAAATAACTTGATCTTATTGCGGGTTTTCCCCATTTTTTTCTCCCAAACAGATTGAATCAACTTTTTGATTACACCAAGGTCATTTATTTTCTCCCCCGTATATTTTTTTTATTAACTGCACATGAGACCCGCACACACACACACACACACACACACACACACACACACACACACACACACACACACACACACACACACACACACCACCACACCACACACACACCACACTAC